TGTGGCTCTCCGAGTGTTTAGGGAGGTCTGCGCTGGGCAGAAGACACAGAAATGAAAAGCAGTGGGCACTGCCCTCAAGCCTCGTGGTTTGGGGACAGACAGCAGGCATGGGGTGTGGTGTGAGCAGGAGGTGAGGCGCTCTCAGGGACCCGGCACCCAGCTTTGCCCGGGATGGTCTGGGGGGCTGGCGGAGCACGTGCTGGTTCGACTATGTGTTAAAGGACTCCTGGGAACTTGCCAGCTAGACCAGGTGGGGACGGGCTTTTTCGACAGAAGGTGCAGCAAGTGTGAACCTCAGCAATTGCTTCAGGCAACAGCGAGGGGCTCCCACTGGGCGCCAGACACAGGGACAGGTGAAGATGGAGCACTGCCCTTGATGACTTCGAAGCTGGGACCCGAGGTGGCTTCAGGGAACATGGAGAAGGGGGGACGGAGCTGGAGGTTGGGCAGCCAGTCCGTGGGGGGGACCCATGAGGTTGAGACTGCGAGTGCCGTTCTGGGGAGCGGGCCTCTGAGCCTGGAAGGAGCTGTCCAGTGCGGTCAGATGCACTCTGAGGGCTCCTGGAGGAAGCATTTGGGGGGACCCAAACTCAGGAAGCCGTTCTGCCACCCAGGGAGAGCCGACAGGACCTGAATCCCGGCTGAGGGGCGACAGGGACAACAGGTGGGCAAAGGAGAGACACCTCGATGCTGTGTGGTGATGTGGGATCTGCAAGGGAGGGACCTCAGGTGGCGCTTGGGGACCTGGTGCCATCTTGGGCTGGTCCCTGGCTAGTGAGACTTTGGCTGAACTGCCTGGTCTCGCCTGGCCTCGCCTGGCCTCGGCTCACTCTTCTGAGGAGGTTTCCGAGAGGAAGGCATGAGGAACATTGGCTCGTAGCTGCTTTGAGGGGTAAGAGCCCGGAGAATGAGGCGCGGTTTGTTTTTTGCTGCCCTGCTAGGGGAGCCCCCAGCGCTCCTGGCCCAGCTGCCTGGAAGCTCACATCCCAACCTCTGGCGGTGGGGATGGGGGCGGCCACACCTGGTTCCCACCGCCTCTGCCCTCGGCCTTGCCCGCACCTCCTCCCGTGGTTAGTAATTCGGGACAAGCCAGATGGCTCTGCTTCTTCCCCTCCTGCTCATCCGTAGTCTCTGGGGCCTGTTTCGCAGCTCGGGGTGGGCGTGGGGGGTGGAGGGCCTGGGAGGCTCGCCGCATTTAGCTGGACGTCCGGGGGTCTGAGCTCTCACCACCAGCGCCCATGGCCTCCGAGTGTGTGGGCTCATTGCCTGTGGAAGTGGAGAGGAGCCACTGGTCCCGCCTTCTGCCCATCCCGGGGTTTATCTAAGGCACTCCGTAAATATTTATAGGATGAAGAGATGGATGCTATCACTTGCACTCTTAGGAACATTCTTTCCTTCACTTTTCCCCATGTTCCCGTTAGGAACACACACACACACACACACACACACACACACACACACACACACACCTCGTTTCGGATCCGAGGCTTCAGAGCACCCCAACTTGCCCAAGGAGAGCAGTGACTTCAGTCCACACCTGCCTGGTCCCAATTCAAGGTCAAGGTGGACAGGGAACTCCTGGGACTACAGAGCCCTGTAAGGAAACTTCAGGGCATGTTCTACTCTCCGGTGGTTGGCCTCATTCTTACTGAAATCCTGTGGGAGCGCCAAGTGCACGTGACTGGGCTGAATATGGAGAGAGCCAGATCCGCGGTGCTCAGGTTGTGGGCAGTTACCCCAGCACCTGTCCTGAGGCTGGGGAGAGTAGGGACAGAGGCCACGTCACAGAGAAGGAGGCCAAGAGGCGGAGGAAAGACTACGAGCCTTTTCCCATCAACCCAGGAGGGCTTTCTGGAAGAGGAGGACAGGGCAGTTTAATTTTTCCACGCTTTGGGTCAGGTAGAAGGAGGCAGCAGTCTGGTCCTGGGTCTTCTAAGTGTTGGCAGGAGCTGCTGACACAGAGAACCTAACCCAGGCCCGTGAAGGCACCCTCCAGGGTGAGCGGCCACGGGGACACGGTCCCCACATGTGTCTGTTCAGGTGATGCCTTTGTGGCGAGGAGCTGGCACAGAGCACCCTGGGGCAACGCTACATAGAGGAGGAGTTTGTCTCCCAGGCAACGTGAGCGTGAGCTATCAGCCTCCACGCTTCCACTCAGGTACCCAGCACTGCCTGAGAGCCCCTGCAAAGCTCAGGTGTTAGCCCCCCTTTCCAGATGGGTAAACTGAGGCCAAGGTTATGTGATGCCTGACATTCTTTCCACTGACCCTCTACCTCCACCCTGACCTCAGGGCCACAGCCTGAGCTGACTCAAGGAAGCTCGAAGGGGCTTGGGACCGGGAAGTGTTCCAGGAACCAGGTGTACCTGGGAGCAGAGACAGGGCCCTGCGACGGTAGCGGTGGCCGGTGGGGGTGTGAACACATAATTAAAAGGTGCCACTCTCTAACTACCTGCTCTCCATTTCTTTTAATTTCGCGTCCACACAGCTTCTACTAACATCTTACAAGCATGTGTGTGTCTGTCTGAAAACCGTCATATTCGTATAGTGAGAACATTTGTAGTCCGGGCTCATGGAGCCCCTCCCCCAAGTCCCCTGCCCTTCATCCTTCTGCAGGCGAGGGGAGCAAGACGAGGGGGAACTTAGGGGTCTGGCAAGAAGGAGAGTTCCCACCTAGGATCTGCTGGAAGGACGGGGCTGGTTTTGAAGTTGATCAGATGGTCCCGTAGCCTGAGCTCCCCTCAGAATGGCCCAGAAACGTGTGAATCTGAGCAAAGCCTACTGATGTGTGATGAATTTACAAATAGGTGTGCAGAGGGGGACAGTGTGTACACAGGAGCCTGCTGTTCCTGCAAAGCTGCGTCAACATGTCACCGAGCTGGGTTTAATTTTAGTCCCAAGGATTGTATCTGTTTAGCACCAAGCCTGCGTGGCGCCGTGCATGCCTGGTGGGCCAAGCTGGTGGTGTTACCGCCTCCCTGAGGGGAGAAATCTTCGAGGTCATTCCAGGCCCCGTGCAGCTTTGTTAGAAGCCAAGAGCAACCCCCAGATTCACAGAAAGTGCTCATGTTTCACGGATAAAGCCTCCGCGTGATGAAAGGTGACACACACGTCCAGCACACTGGACTTTGCATCACCCGCGTCTGCCCTCTACCCACAACCAGCTCCGTCCTTCCCAGACCGGATCAATGCCCCGTGATTTCCGTGAATTCAGAAGGTAGACTGTGGGCTTTCAGAATGATTATACAGAGAAAAACCACCGTATTGATTAGGAACTTTTAGTCATTTTGTGGCCTTAGAGGAGAGTGGAATCTATCTTTCTGCCCTTAGGAGAAAAGGTCTTGCTCAGCGAGTGATTAACATGCAGAAGGTCAAAAAAAGATGCATCATCCTCCTGTTAGTCAGGGGTTTTATGGCCATGAGTAACACAAGTCCAGTTTGAGCTGGCTTTGGCGGAAAAGGGGCCCTGCCTGCAATGCTCACCGTACCATAGGGGTTAGGATAGGACAGCAGCCTCGGCAGCGGCTGGAGCTACAGATCCAAATGCCGCCAGGACTTGCCCTCGTGCTCAGCTCCGTTGAGATCCATGTGCCGGCTGCATTGTCCCAGACTGGCTACATGGAGGGGACACGGCTGCTGACAGCACAGCTGCTGCCTTTGCTACACCAGTGAAGGACCAACTCACGTTCTCTTTGACCCCATATTTAAGAAAAAAAAAATCCCTGGAAGTTAAGCAGGGGATGAGGTCATGGCTTACAGATTGAGGGCACACCACAGCCTTCTCTTCCGGGTCTAAATCCCTCAATATGACTGAACACATATTATTCAGTATCCACGTGGGTAAAGAGATGCCTTCAGGGCATAAAAACCATGAAGGAGCCCCCAGAAGGTAGAGTGACAGTGGGATTAGGCTGAAAAAGGAGACCATGGCCAAAATGGTACCCAGGAGATAGAGAGGTTGCCAGGTGTCCTCCAAGCCCGGATGTGACGTATGAGGAGCAGGATGGGGTGTTGGGGTGACCTAGGGGATAAATGGGGAAGTTGAGTGAATATAACTTATTTCATCTCGTGCTGGAGAAGGAAAGAAAGACCCTTATGAAATCTAGGCCCTCCAGAAAATTACACGTTTGAGCATGTGTGTTTAAATATTTAAAGATTGTCACTGGAACAGGCAGTCAGCAGCCTATGGCCTGCAGGTCAGCTCTGGCCTGCCGTCTGTTTGTGTAAATAAAGTTTTATTGGAACACAGCCATGCCCATTTGATAATATGTTTTCTGTGGCTGCTTTCCTGCTATAGCAGCATAGCTGAGTCGTTGCAACAGAGACTGTATGGCCCGCAAAGCCTAAGATATTTACTCTGTGGCCCTTCACACACAAAAACATTTGCTGCTCCCTGCTCTAGAAAAATGAAAATGAAACATAACATCCAGCCTACTGTAGAAAAAAAGATACAGCTAACAAAATAAATGACTCCAATAAAGGGCAAAGAAGAAGAAAAGAGATAAACGTGGTATATAGAAAAGGATAGGAATTAGTCTAAACATCAGTAAGCACAGAAAATGTGCACAAGTTAAACTCACTAATTAAAAGATACTCTCTCAAAGTTAAGTATTTTGTGGGGTGGCCGGTTAGCTCAGTTGGTTGGAGCACAGTGCTCATAACACCAAGGTTACCAGTTCGATCCCCACGTGGGCCATGGAGCTGCGCCCTCCACGGCTAGGTTATAACAACTACTTGACTTGGAGCTGAGGGGTCCTGGGAAAACACACTGTTCCCAAATAAATAAATGAATAAATAAATAAATAAATGAAAGAAAAAAATAATAAGTATTTTATTTAAACGAGACTGAAAAGAACAGTGAAACAGCTTAAGAAGTATGAAAATAAAAGGGTGAGGAAAGGCTTTTGAGCTCCTTTGCTCTGCCTGCTCCAAACTCTTTGGAGTGTACTTTCTCTTCTAATAATGGCCCTTGAGCCATTCTCTACTTCTCGGGCCCACTCTGTTTCTTTGAAATGGTATTTTTTTTCTTCTAATAAGACGTCCTTTTCTGCAACTTTACCTCTCTGGTCTGTGTCTCCGTTCTTCGGCTCCACAAGACCACAATCCCAGACACACACACAATCACACATCAAAAAAATCCTGCAGACAGATAGATAGATTAAAAATTCATTGAGCTGTACAGTTTATTGAAGTATATCTCAATTTTAAAAAATTTGAAGAATTTACTAAGGAAAGATAGTCATATGAGTTTGCTGTATTACATTTAATAACTCAGTGTTAGTCATGTGGTATTTGCACTCTGGAGCAAATAGCCACTTAACCAACCAAACAAACAAAAGGGTGAGGAAAGAAATCCTTCACAAACAAAGCAAAGAAAGCAAATAGAGCAATATTACTATCAGATAAAAGAACTAAAAGTGAAAAATATTTTAGGACTAAAGGAATTGTTCAAACTGATCAAAGGCATATTCCACCAAAAAATTTAAAAGCCTGGACTTTCTGTCCTTAACAGTATAGCTTCAAATACATTAAATAAGAATTGATGATATTATGAGTGGAAAAGAAAGGACAAATATAGAGTAACAAGGTGGGCTTTAAAAATCTCCAAGGTATCTCTGGGGTGGATACCTAAATGTACACAGGTGACAAAATTGTACACAACTTAATGCCTACACACCCCACATATGCAAATAAGTTCAAGTAAAACGGGGGAAATGTGATTAAAATCTGTAGATTGTATCAATGTCAGTGTCCTGGGTGTGATATTGTAGTTTTATAAACTGCTACCATTGGGAGAAGCTGGATAGTGTAAAAGGGATCTCTCTGTGTTATTTCTTACAATTGCATGTGAATTTACAACCATCTCAATGAAATTTTCAATAGAAAATTCTTCAAGGACAGCACATTAGGTATTAAAAAACGTTAATCGCCCTCAAATTAAATGAGGAAGTCAGAGTGAACATTTTAAACTACAGTATTTGACATGAAAGGCAGTAAGAGCATGGAATATAAAAACCTATGTAATGAAACCAAATCAACACTCAAAGGAAAATTGTCATCATATATTCATTTATTAAGAGACAGATAAGATGAAAAATTATTGACCTTAGCTTTCAATTCAAGAATCTAGAAAAATAAACTCAAAGAAGGTGAAAAGAACTAATGTAAAATGAAGTCAGAAAATGGGGCAGAATTTATCAATAATTGCAAAACTTGCTCTTTGAAAAGACTAATGAAAGAGATAAAACTCAAAAAACAGACGGCACAAACCAAAAAGACAATATAACTACAGAAGAGGTTTTAAAAAGAAAAGAATATTGCATGCAACTTTTTGCCAGTTAATTAGAAAATCAAAGTGAAATGCATGATTTCTCTAAGTAAATAAAAACAACCTAAATTGGCTCATCAAGAAAAAGAATTTGCCCCTAAAATAGGGATAAATTCTACCAAACCTTTAGGAAACAGATAATTCTCACGTTACGTTAATGCTCTCAGTTTTGTGCACAAAAAGATGTTACAAGTTGTCTTGCTAGGAACTCTGGTACCCAAATCAGATAAGGATAACTCAGCAAAACGACAGGCCAGTCTCACTTTTGAATAAAACCGAAATTCTTTTGTTAAGACACCTAAATAAAATAACAAATTTAATTCAGCCCGACATTAAAAAGAATAATACATCATGACCAAGAAGGATTTATCCCAAGGTTGGAAGGAAGTTTCAGTATTAAGAAACTTTTCATCTGATTTACTATATTGACAATTTTTTTTTTTTTTAGTAGTTAAGTTACTCAAAATTAAGATTGTTCTCATCCTAGACAAGAAAAATGAATGCCATTTGCTGCTGAGGGAGTACCGGGAAAACTTAGTTATGCTTCCTTTGCTGCACACTCTCCCTCAGTATATTTCACAGGCGGGGTTGCCGTGGGCCAGGTCCCCTTAATTGGGGTGACAGAGGAAGGCAGTATAAAGTAGTAGATAGAGCAGAATTTTTAAAGCCAGGCCAGGCTGAGAAGTAAACGTAGCAATTGTAAGGTCCAAGCTGCTCAGGCTTGGAAAGAGTGTGGTTTCAATTGTACCTCCCAACCCCCCCAAAAAAAAGATATGTCAAAGTCCGTCCCCCACCACCCCACCCCCGGGAATGTGACCTTATTTGGAAATAGGGTCTTTGCAGATGTTAAGATGGGGTTCCACTGGAGACGGGAGGGCCCTGAATCCAGTGACTGGTGTCCTTATAAGAAGGTCATGTGGGATGCAGGAACTCAGAGAAACGCAGAGGAGGCCATGTGACAAAAGGAAGAGATGAGAGTGACATAGCTGCCAACCAAGGACCTCTAGCCACTTCCAGAAGCTAGGCACCAAGTTTACCAAGGCACCCAATTTCGGACTTCTGGGTAAATTTGTGTCGCTTTAAGCCACCCAGTTTGTGGTACTTGATGACAGCGGCCCCAGGAAACAAAGACACTTGCTATCTATTTGGGGGGAAGAATAGAAAAGGTGAGTGAGAAGGGAGGATCAGAGGACCGCTAGATGGGTAGACATGCCGGCGCTGGCGAAGCAAATATACATCCTCTCAGGAAAAACAGACCCCGTCCTAAGTCTCGAAGGATTTCTACAAATAACCCCTGCAGAAAATGAGCAGTTTGTAGTAAAAAATAACTGAGCAGAAGAGGAGATAAGCCTGCCAGAGCCGGCGTGGACAATTTACGGCAGAAACAGACCCTCAGGATTTCAGATACGGCAATACTTAGGCAGTGTTGATAAAATAACCTAGTTTGCTGTATTGGAATAAATAAAGGCGAGGCTGGAAGTAGGTGCAGGGAACAAAAAGCTGTGAAAAGTGACGAAGCGGATTGGAAGAAGAACCGAACAGAACTTTTGTTGGAGCGCAGTCAGAGCCAGGAAGGGTTAGCAACTGGAAGCCGGCGGTGAAGACGTGGCCCAGAACACAACCCTGGAACAAGGAGGAAGCTGGAGAGACGATAAGACATGTGGAGGAGAGCACCGAACATTCATCTAATTAGATTCCAGAAAGAGGAAACTCAGCCAGAGGCCGTGTTTGAAGAGATAATCGCTGAGAATTTTCCAGAGCTGATGAAAGACAGAGGCAGGAATGGACAGTTGTTTGGAGAGGGGGAGAGAATGATGACTTGGCTTCTAAAATATGGCTAATTCCTCCCTTAGGTCCTGGGCTTGGAGCTAGTTCCAGCCCATCCCCCAGAATGACTCAGGAGTTGCCAAACCCTTCACCTTGACTTCTGTCCAACCTTGGTCAGTTCTTCCCACCCACGAGCTGCTACCGATGGGCAGTTGCTGAGAACGGGGAGGTCCTCGTGGTAGGACAAGGTGGCGGTGAGGGATGGGCCTTGAGACTTTGAAAACATTGCCCCAAGTCAGGTGGGGCCCTTTCCCTCAGCTCTAGGGATTGTCAATCCTACTGTAGTCCATGAGACTGTCGCTGCTAGGAGTTGGGCAGTGCACAGCCTGTGCAACTGAACTAGGCAACCCAGCAACCCCTGATGCTTTCTCTTTCCCAGTTATGTACCCATGGGGCTTTCCAAGTTTGACCAGCAGTTTTGTTTCCTTTGTGTTTTCTTTCCTCCCTCTCTCCTTCCCTGGAGAGGGACGGCATCCATCGTCAGCAGGAGGATTTTATGGGGTGATGACAGGAAGCTAATAACCCTATAAAGAAGAGCCAGTTACCTGGGCCACTTCCCAGGCATACTGTGTTCCCCGGCAGCCCTGTAAGGGCCACGCCCCTCACTCTGGGAGATGGCCTGAGCAAGGCTGCACAGACACGTGCATTCGCATGTGCACACATGTCCCCCTGGGGACACTGGCCGGTGGCCTGTGGCTCCTGGACCCTTGCTTACCCAAGGGCACCGTAGATCGAGCCCTGAATCGCAGGCCAGGAAATAGGGGTTCTAGGGCCTCTGCCCTTGACCAGCTGTGTGGCCTCGTTAAGTGACTCAGCCCCTCTGGGCTTTCCTCTTCGCGCCTTGCCTTGGCTGCTTCCGCGTAGTAACTCTTCCTGTGTGATAAACTATAACGCACCGTGCACACCTGGGAGGGGGTGGCAGCCACCCGAAGGTCATTTGGGCCACCAGGCATGGCCGTATGTCATTTAGGGCCCCACCCCGCTGTGGGTAATAGCAAGCAGCCCCCTGTCTGTCTGCCTGCCTGTCTGTCTGCCTTTCTGAGGTTTATGCCCCTGCACACACTCTTTTGGGGGAAGAGGGGACAGCCTGGCTCCGTGAACAGGCTGAGTCAGAGACGCTGTCAAGAAGCCGGGTTTTTTATTCCGGGGACGCGGCAGGGTGGGTGCGCTATTCTTGGAGAACCCTTCAGCTGCTCTGAGGAACAGCTAACCGAGCAGTTTGTAATTAGCACTTTGGCTGCTCGGCGGCATTATCTGCCTGTAGATGGTTGGGGGATCGTTTGCCAAGCAGGCCCTCTTGAATCCCTACTAAGTGCCAGCCAGCACCCTGCTCCCTAGCATCTGCTGCGAATGAAAAGATGAGTCACGTAAATCCGCTGTCGTTTCGTGGGCCCAGGCACTCCTAGTCACCAGTGAGACTGGGCGGGTCTCCCTCACTGTGGGGAAGCGCATCAGATCATTCCAGAGCATGGAGCCAGAGGCTAGAGCGGGGCAGGGGGAGGCTTCTCCACAGACCGGGCGAGCGTGGCATCAAGATGGAGGCCTAGGTCACGACAAGGAGCCAGTGGTGCCAAAGCCTGGGGGATGGGCGTTTAATGGGCACGGCAGCTGCCTGGAATCCAGAGCTATGCTGAGAAAAGGCAGCAGCCCAGCCGGCTGACGCGTAGTGAGGCAGCAACCCAGTTGGCTGGTGCATAGTGAGGCAGGTAGGAAGGGCCCAGTGTCAGCAGGCAAGACCCACTGTCAGAATCTCCTTTCTTTTGAAGGCTGAATAATATTCCCCGTCAGGTCTTCAATGCCTCGCGCAACGCCTGTGTCCCCCAGCAGTCTTCAGACTCCAAGGCCTCTCTCTGTCTTGGTCCCCTGTCCCCCCGGGCACCCACCACAGAGCCTGACATTTGGCTTGATAAACACTGTCGATAATGCATGGACTTCAGAGGGGTCCCAGTAAGACTAGAATTTAAGAACCTCATTTGTTTGGTTATGGAGTTGAGATTTTAGCCTTTAGGCACTTTTGTGTTCTTACCAGCCTTGTTGGGAACGGGTTAAAAATCCAAATTCCCAGGCCCCTCCCTCGGCAGTGCAGTAGATTTGGGCTGAAACCAGGGAGTCTATACTTTGAAAGAAATACCAACCTTGATTTCCAAGATCAGTCAGAAACATTAAAATAAAACCAAGACATCACTCTTGGGTGGAGTTTACATGGGGTTGTCCCTCTGGTCTCACTACAAAACAACCTGGAAGAGAAAAGCAGAAACTATTTCTCCAAGTCATGCATCTTTGCAAAAAAGCATTAAAGCCATTCACGCACTCACATTATCTCTGGTGCAGCCTCCATTAATCCATCAATAAATACGTCTGGCTTTGAATACACCACGTAAATTCTTGGGTCCTTCCAAAAACGGGGCACACTGGCCTTTTCTACCTTGTCGGGTCGCTCAGAAAAAGCAAGAATTTGAAGCTCAAAGCGTTTGTAAACCATAACATTCTATTATCAGTGCTAGGGGTATATATTTATATAAATCGATACAAATGTAGACAATGATGACTGTTCAGTTCTTAAGCTATTTCTACCCTGGCTGCACAGAGAGACAAACCTGACTCTAGCGCTTACTGAGTGACAGCAGGACGAGGTGTCTTAGTGACACCGAGCCACAGTTCCCTCAGCTATGAAAATGGGCATAAGAGCCACACGGTAAAATATTATTCTGCCATAAAAAGGAAGGAGGTACCGACACATGCGACAAAGTGGGCGAACCTTGAAACATGATGCCGAGTGACAGAAACCAGACACAAATGGACACATAGTGTATGATCCCATTTAAAGAAAGGTCCAGGACAGGCAAATCCATAGCGACAGAAAGTAGATGAACACGTGTCAGGGGGTGGGGGTCGGGGGAGTAGGAAGGGATTGTGGGGTCCCCTTTTGGGGTGAGAAAATGTTCAGGAATCAGTGATGGCGATTACACAACTCAGTACATATATGGAAAACCACGAAAACGTACCTTTGAAGAGGGTGAATTGTATGGTATGTGAATTACATCTCGATAAAATAAATAGATAAATGTGGGGTCATATATCTCACTCGAGGCAGTTACGAGGATTAAGTAACTCGTCATTTATTCATGTAGCCTGCGTGTGGAAAATGATTGAAAGGATTTAGACACCAAGGGACCAAGCAGAGCAGCGGGTTTACCGCGTGTGGGGACGGAGGGTATAGTGAGACCCTGGGGAGGCCTCCAGGGGAGCCGGGATTGCATGGACTGTGTATTTTCTCCTGCACCCTCCTCACGGTGTACAGAAAGAGCTGGGGTGCAGGGAGGGGTGGGGTCAAGGCTCTGACCCTTCATTTGCCCTGGAATCTGTGTCTTTCAAGCGCACCCCGGTGGGTTAATGGGCTCTTGCAAGTTTGGGAACCACCGTTTTAGGTGCTACTGGGTACTGTAGGCAGTGTCTCGGAGCTCATGGGCTTTAATGCTCCACTGTGACACCTAGAAAGCCCTGGGCCTGTGCCCCCAAAGCTGTAGCTCTTGCAGAAGGAGCTGTGGGGACGCAGAGCCTTGGGGGGGTCCCATGAATAGTGTGGGCATATAGGGGCAAGACTAGGGACACTGGCCCCCTAACACCCCAACATAGAGTTTGTACCCCTGTAGATCTGAGGTCAGCCCCACAGGGCTACTTGCAGACTGCACAACACCAACATGTTTTGGAATAAAAAAATATCATTATTTGCAGCTAATGGCTGATGGGCTCCACGTAAGCTGGCTCGGAGCCCCAATGCTGGAATCTTGCCCATGATCAGCTCCGTGTGGATGGTTGCTGGTGGGTGTGTTGGCCAAGCAGAGAGGAGAACCTCAGTCCCTTCGAGGGCCGTGCTGTGTGCCTACCTGTTGCACATGCTCCATCGCTATGTGTTAAATGCAGGAATTAATTAATGAGGGGCTGGATGAGGACTGGGAGCTGGCCCCGGCTTAGCCACACCGAGGTCACAGGTGGCCTTGACCTGTGAGGTTTCACTGGAGGGGTGGGTTGAAAAGAGATTGGCAAACTCTTATGAGGGTTTTGCTATAAAGGGGAACAGAGAAATGGGGTGGTACCACAAGGAAAGTTGGGTTAGGAGAGCTTGGGGTCAAATCCTTACGTTGTACACCCGAAACTAATATAATGTTTTATGTCAATTATACCTCAAAAAAATTAGCTGAGAGAGAGAGAGAGAGAGAGAGAGAGAGAGAGAGAGAGAGAGAGAGAGCGAGCGAGAGCACTGTGGGTTTTCGTTTGGTTTTTGTAAGTACGGGAGCTGTTTCTTGCACGTTTGCGTGCTGACGGGTGGGGGGTGGGGACTCCAGTCGAGGGATACAAATTGATGAGGGAGGCTTAACTGAAGGAGAAGGTTCTTAAGTGACAAGAATGGGACCCAATGCACGAGAGGCTGAGGAGTCAGCAAGCTGGCCTCCCGTGGGGGCCGAGACGTTCATGCCTTGTAACAGGAGTGGTGGTGCGCGTGGGTTGGTGGGTTTGGAATTGGAGGAGATGGAGAGAAGGAAGGTCGGGAGAAGGTAGAAGATAACCCGTGGGAAACGCATGTGCAGGATTGGGGGTTACTGCCCCACACCCAAGTGTCCAGTCAAAACCTGGGGGCCAGGCTGGCCCCAGCAGCTGTGTCGCCAGTGTTTGTTATATGGTGTCATGATCACATCGTAATGACCGTAACAAGGGGTCATCACCAGTTTGGGTGAAAATCCCAGCCCGGCCTCTTCACTCGGGTGCCCCGAAACTGCTGTTTCCCGGGGAACAGAGGAGCCGAGGTGCTTTGGGACAGGATGAGACCCCCGCTTAACCTGATCCCTCCCAGCCTGGGTGAGCTCCCAGCCACCAAGCATTTCGGGGGGGTCCTCCCTCCTCCACCCCAGGAGCACTTTAGGAGCGTCCTTCCCTAAAGGGGTGCTCGTTTCTAAGGCCAGCAAGCTTCTGGGAGGCCCAGATTCAGGACCCGAGGCCAGGTGGTAGCGCCCAGGGGAGGTGACCAGGAACGGGAACCAAGGCCCCAGGTGACGGCTGTGTGAGCCACAGCTCAGAACCAGAGTGTCGCCGAGGTCCCTCTGCGTTTGTTTCTATTGTCACATCTAAGCTGAGTGTCCATTGTGAAAGTGTGGGGAGCCCCCCCACCCCCCCGGAAAGCCAGCGATGACAGCTGTAGCAGCAGTGACCAGCTGGGCCCTTAGAGGGCAGTGAGTGTCAGGGGCTGTCCCAGCTGGGCCGTCCTGCTTGTCTTGGAGGATCTGGGCCTCAGTCTTAACATCCTCACAGGCAACTCTCCTCTCCCCTTTTCCTGACAAGCGAGGTTGGAGCTTGGAAACGCGAGTCCTAAAACCGGGTGCTGATCACCCTGGGCCTCCTCGAGCAGGGCCCCAACCCTCTCCATGCCTGCTTTGCTCCTGCACCTTAGAGATAAAAAGCCCCCCCACCCCCACCCTACTCACTTTGACCCTCTGCATTTTCCAAGGGCTCCATCCCTCCTTCCCAGCCCTGCACTGCAGGACAGGCTCCGCGGTGCCCCCAGGTGGCTGCCGTCCTGTGGGGTCTGATGACAGTCCCGCAGTGGCTTGGCAGTCCTCCCCAGCTTGGCACCCCGGCTGTACACGATGAGATTTATGGCCGACCTGGATGTCAGAGGCTGCAGGGGTGCCCAGGGCTTTGGGGCTTCAGTGCTCAGGCCCGGGTGCAGGGTCAAAGGGTCCAGGACACTGGCGGGCGGGGCGAGCGCTGCGTCCTCCAGCTTGGCCACACCTGGGTGTCAGCTCATTTATAAAGCGACCGTTAGTTAGGGCCGGAGCGGGGTCCTCTTGGTGGAAGTCCAGTGTCTAACAGGTAAAGGTGAAACCACTCTGGGGGCAGCGATCCCCCAAACCCCCCCCCCAGCTCCTTCCAGCTCAGACACTCCTGGGGAATGTGCCCACTTCCTGCTTGACCCCCAGGAGACAGAGAGGCAGCTGATGGTGCTAACTTCCTGCACACACTCCCCCACGCCACCCAGCCTGGTGGCTGGACCCCGGGGCACAGAGAGCTGCCCCTTTCCCCTCCTGCAGCCCTATTGCCCCCTCCCATTCACTGGGAGCCCACCTTCCCCAGATATAGATGGTGGGAATGACGTTCTCTTAATGTTCCCCACTTCGGCCCCTGATAGGTGACCAGCAGGCTGGGGAAGCAGAGGGCAGAAGGGGGCTTTCCTAGAGAAAGTGGGGGAGAGGCCCCAGGGACCCAAAAGGGATGTTCCGGAGGCACCAGGGCCCCCAGAAGCTGCCCGTGGCCCCTGCCTGCCCTGCCAGCCGCCCTCCCGCTGTGGCAAACATTTAGGCAGGCTCTGCTGGCCCGGCTCCGAGCAGCTTCCAGCCCTAACGGCCACAATGCTGCTGAACTGCGCTTGGACGCCTTCCATCCCCCTTTGTCTCCACACGGCATCGCTCCTATAGACTCCATCTGTGACGTCAACCCCAGCTAATCGTGGAAACACATTCGGTTCTATAAATGAAGCTCTGTCTTGCTTCCCCTCCCAGGCAGGGTTTCTCGCGGTGGCCTCCGCCCAAAGGAGTTATCTGACCTTCCTACCTGCGCTGTCCAGGGCGCCTCCCTTCCGACTGCAGGTCACCGCCGTCCCTCCTGCCTGGCCACCCTGCTCCTTTGAGACACCTGGATGGTGCCTTTCCCCTGCGATGCCCAGAGAGTCTGTGATGACCTTGGGTTCCCAGCCCGGGAGGCCCCTTGACTCCTTGGCCAGAACCATGTGTTCTCGGTCAGCTGCAGGCCTCTCCTCTGGCTCTCCCATGTGGGCTCTGGCTGGGCACACTGCCTGAGGACGGGAGGGTGACCTTCCACCCACATGCCGCCCAGGGCTCCAGACAGGCAGGATACAGTCTGGGCCGTGCACCTTGTCCAGGGCTGGTCCCAACTCCCATGGCCTCCCTGGTCACCACCCCAAGTTGCTTCCACTCTGACTCTGTCTGGCCCTGCTGTTTTCTCAACGATACGGATGAACATGGGGGCTGGAGGTCCTCTCCAGAGTCATGAATACAGGGGTTCTGGAGGCCCAAGGCTTTTCTAGAGACCAGGGCCAGGTGATATTTGAGGCCCAGTAGAGGGTCCGTCCGTGTCCTCCCTGGACAGGGGCCATGGGGATGTGCCCCCGGTGGGGGTTTGTGCGCAGCGGTCACCCACATGTCTTGCCCGCCTTTCCTCCCGGAAGGGCCTCTTGAGACTTGTATTTTTCTTCCTTCCCTCTCGCTGTGCCAGGCCCCTGTGGAAGCTTCCCTGTGGAAAGCAGTAAAATATAATTCTGTCTAACTCATCACTACTCGAGCAGGGCTGGAGATGAAATGTGTGTCTGGCTCACGCGCGCCCAGGCAGCCGGAATGAGTCTAATAAGATTGTCTGAGGGTTCAGCTGCTGGGTGAGGGGGGCTCAGGGGACAGGCAGACACATAAGTCACACTGCCTTCTCTCCTCAGGGAGCTGGGGTCTGCCTGTGTCCCCGTGCTTCTGGTTTAACCAGGAAGAAAGCAAGGGGACCCTGTCAACTCCACCAGGTCCCCCTCCTGGCTGCAGAACCAAGCAGGACCTGCCAAGGGGCCATTGGTCCTTCAGACGTCCGTACCCTGGGTGCTGTCTTTCCCTGATGCAGTGGGTTTAGTGTCTGCACCTGGGGGAAGCGGCCCAGCCTGGATGCTGGGCCATGTCCAGGCCGACGCCTGCCTTCTAGACCCTGCTCAGCACAGCAGCACCTGCTGACTGCTAGGGTAGCCGAGTGCTGCTGGGAACTGGGCAGAGCATTTATGTGTGTTATGTGAGCATTTCATAGCAGATAAAAATGGGAGATCAGAGATGAAGCAGTTTGCCCACGGTCACAGCTGGGAAGCCGCAGAAGCTCTGGCTGACTCAAAGTCTGTGATTTTAATGACCACGCTGATTGCCCTTCTCGGGCTGGTTACACACATGTTGCCCAAACTCCACTGCTCCTCCCTTGTGAAAAGTCAAGTCACATAGGAAAGAGCATGGAAAAGTTGCCCCAAATGTCACCAACCTGAGATAACCCTCACCAGCATGGAGGGAACATTATGCCAGACTTTTTTTTTTT